CCTTCAAAGTCAGGTGTCCAATATCCTTGGAATCCTCTAATGAAGAAACCTAGGACTCATATTTCTCTGGAAGGCTCATTAGCGTCCTATGCACTAACCTTTCCTCTGTCATGACCTTTCCTAACAATCTCAATTGATTCACTAAGGCCATCATTTTTCCAGAAAATTCCCCCATGGTTTCATCATCTTCCATCCTTAACATCTCAAACTGTCTAAACAAATTTAAGGATTAAATCTGTCTAGTCTTATCACTAACAAAAAATTCATCCTTCAAGTGATCCCACACCTCCCTGGGACTTTCTAGATGCATAATCCTAGAGAAAATTTCATCAGAAACAGAAGATTGTATACAAGATAGAGCCTTGTACCTTTTTGTTTTGTCTTCTTCAATCTGTCGAATCTGAGCAAGAATGGGGTTGCCATGCCGTTGAACTGGGTCCTTTCCGATCTCCACTACCTCCCAGATACAGTATGCTTTGAGGTAAGATTTCATTTTCATGGACCAGATGGTATAATTTTCACCAGTAAAGACTGGTGGAGCTGATGTGTTGAACTTGGCTATAGCCATGAAAGAAAAAAACCACACAGAAGAATGAACAGGAAGCTAGATGAAGATGATAAAATGAAAAACAGACCCTTACCCATTATAAGGCTCTGATACCATGTTGGAAACTCAAAATTTCAGAAAGAAAAATGAAGATAAACAAAGGTTTCAATGAATAAAGAATAGAAGAAAAATATCTGGAAGAGAAAAGCTCATTTTTCAGCAAGTAGCACACCATTTCTCAACAGAGCCATTCTTCTGCATAATTGACTTGATGAATTGCATTTTCTGTTTTCTTTGTTATCAAGAACAAAAAATGTTATTAACATTTCGATATGCTATCACCGTTGCCTCCTAAAGCATAATCACAAGATTTAATTTGTTGATTTTTTGTTCCTTTTGATTGTGATGAAGTCGCTTCAACAATAACATATTAAAAAACTTATAGGCAGAAAAACGCTAGACTATTGACATCTATCCTTGAGTTGTCAGAAAATAATAGAAATGGAATTCCTTTAAAAGGAGCAAAGAGTGATGCTCAGATTAAAAATGTAGAACTGTGAATGGATAGCCTCTAAACATAATCTCTGCCATGCATCTTGTAGTATTTGATGGCTCAACTTTGCTGGTTGTGCTTACTCCGATATTCCTCTATCCTCAGGTGGCAGTTGATGGCAACTCCTATCATAAGGCTTGTTTCAGGTGCACCCATGGGGGCTGTGTAATCAGCCCATCGAACTACGTGGCCCATGAACAACGTCTATACTGTAGGCATCACCACAACCAACTCTTCAAACAGAAGGGAAACTTCAGCCAACTTGACAAGCATGAGGAAGTCAAGGGAGTGACTGAGAACACTGTGGCCTAGGTATCCTGTTTCTAAGAAAGAGCCACATTTCTACTTTTGAAGCAAAGCTGTTGTTGCATTTACTTTCTACATAGTATATACCATATTATATATATATATATATATATATATATATTATCTGTCACCGGGGAGAAATATTTAGCAGAAGAGTTTGAGTTTGTTGCTAAATTTTTGTGTGTGAGCTTTGAATTGATAGCAAGTTGATGTTCAGTCCTTTTCAATAAACTATGTTGATATAACCCAAGAAAATATCCTGTTAGATCTTTTGATTAGAAGCTTGATGTGTTTTGAGCTTTTCTTTATTTCGAGAACCATGGTGCTTTTCTTTTCTAGCAATGCTGCTGTAATATATACCATCAAAGATGGTAGAGTCATGTAAAACTTCAGTAATCGCCTTGGCTGGAAATTGGACAAGCATGGTTCCAATCATTGATGCTTTTCACGAGCTGAGAAGTTTGTTTTATAGATTTGCTTTCTAGCAATTCCCAAACGAAGCATGAGCTGGTTTTCTGATATCAGAACCCTGACTTGGATTAAAAATGCTTTTCGTAACGTAAACACCCATGGTTATCCTCCATTGTAGTCTTCCTCAGCTTACTTACGTAACGAACTTGCACCAAATCCTCTCATAAAAAGAGACTGAACAAAAACTCATGATCAGATATAACAGGCCAGAGGCCTAACACCAATAACCAATCCTGACGTTTTCCAGCAACTTCGGCTTGTAAGCCGTAAATCATAAGTCCAGTATCATGCAGACATGCACCATTATTTTAAGCCCAAATTTGAGAAACACCTTTGGCCGTTTTTCCTTCCCTGTTCAACCAACTCTCCTACCAATGTCAATCCAATCTACTGAATCTAGTACAGCCTCGATTGCTGAGTACGGAGTACCTCACAAAACTCTTTCAACGGAAAAAATTCCAGTGCCCTATGGGTCAGAACTAAGTGTAGTGAATTGCATACTTTTCCCCGAATATGCTTATTGTTTCATCCAAATGACTCTCGAGGTATTAGTGTGATCCTAGATATTGTCCATATATTCCCAAGTTTAAAGACCTCTGATCTCTGTGATTTGTCAACTCCAATTTATCTAAGCATGATAGTGTTTGCATAGTGTTAGCAGTTTTCACTCCCTAGATGAAGGAAATTAGTTTTAGGTGAAAATAGTTGATAATGGGTTTTGCAGAGTTACATAAGATGTGAGAGTATATATTTTTTGAACATATTATGTGATGTCTCATCTCTTATCAAATGTAAATACCATTATTAGTTTAAGTCAATTATTACAAATTTAAATTTTGGAGGATCACATGATTTAAATTTAAAAAATTATTAAACTAGTAATACTTGAATCTGAATTGTTATAATTAAATTGATTAATGGGATATTTTAGTTTCACCAGGTTACCTGATTTAAATGATTGAAAGGGATATTTCAGTTTTACGAGTACCATTAATTGATGGGAATGGCTGTATCAAATTTTATTCTTCTCTTGATAAGCTAAAGTTGGTTGCTCAAGTGAGTAAACAAGGGGGTAAATGCAGGGAATGAATCAAACCTAGCCCCCATTGTGATGAGAGTTCATGAGCAACGGTACTGTTTATGGGTTTCTATGATCAATTCCATCTGCAGCATATACCAAAAGTCTAACTAGGCAAGACTAGGGAGGCTATGCTCCCATGTTTTTCAAAGGAAGCGGCTGGGATAATGTTGTTGAATCATAAATGCCGGTTGATTATCCTCAGTCAACCTGGAAGGCCATTTGGCCCATTTCCCAAGACTATAGTAAAGAATAAACAGAACCACATTTTTTTCACATTTTTCAATTGAGGAGGAATGCTTCATGTGAACAGAGAGGAGCATAAAAGAACAACTAGTTGGTTTGGCAGAGTGAATAAGCAGAGGCCCAAACATTGATTAGAATAGTGAGATAGTATCTAAAAACATGTGATGATTGCCGAATCCTGAGGTGTATGGTAGAGAATAATAGTTAGAGATGACTTGTGGCAAACTGTTAAAGAAGGAAGCTTGCTATAGCAATAATAATTGGTAGGTATCCATTCTTTCATACTTTGAATGTAAGCAATGCAAGTTGCACGACGCTGCTTTTCAGTCAATGTGATAATCTCTCAAGATTTGCTGTGAAAGTTGAGCCTGTTCCCTCTGATGGCAAAGGTCTTGCAAGAAATAATTTCGATGGAAGTCTTCCGCAATAAAGAAAGGGGATGTCGCTGTTGAAATTTGAGCTACCCCATCAATAGGAACCATTCATTCTGCGCCTGGATTAAAAGCTGTTATTCTCAAAGCATTAATTAGGTAGTGACAGGATTTTATGACACCGCAGGCTCAATCAATCAGGTATATTCAAAAGCCAGCGACCTGATAAATGGAAATATTGCTCCACAACTCACTGATCACATAGTTTTTTATTAGAGACAAAATTTGTATCAGGCTTCAAATTTGGTACATGAATGGCAAATTGTTGATGGCCCACAGAGAGAATTCCTGTGTGTTTTCCAGGAGTTGGACGATTCATGTGTTAAAATACCCATTTTTTTTCCATGACTAGAGAATGTTCTGACTCTCAAGTTGGTTGCAGTTGTCTCACTCAAATGTTTTCTGCAAAGTGGCGCAATAGTTTTATCGTTAGCTTATTAAAGAAAGGATCAAGGCATCTTTTGCTTTGGAAGCTATGGCCGGTCTGTCTTGCTCTTGAGTTTGGCAATGGGATTTGCGCACGAAACAATGCTTTTTTGATATTCTGACAAGATTCCTCTTCTTTTAAATGGACCGGAAATTATTATTATGATGAAGTGTTTCAAAGTCAAAAATGTACATGCCTTATGATTACTGTTAGTCTTTTGTAACATGTCCCACCATTTATTCTTCCATAGCCATGAGACTGCTGATCACATTTTTTCTTATTCAAGTCCCTCGTGGCAAGCAAAGTCACATTCCAGATGCTGGTTCTGCATCTGCACTGAATGCCTAAGAACTAATATTAGTTCCAGGATGTTTCCATGAATGTCTATGATGAGGAAAGTGGTGAAATTTTTTATCTCTGAAATTTTCCATAGTTTCCCAACCAGTAAATGATGCTGCTCAAGGACATGATCATCTCGTATCTGTACTTGTTTATGGCTTCACCAGTTAATTAGTTATGGCCTTGATGGACCATGTAAGAAAAAGAAATGGTCCTTCAAAGCAATTATTAGGACCTCGATTCCTTGTATTTTAGTACTCCGGAATTGATATCTGGCCTACTTGCAAAAACAATTATTGCTGACATTTAGCTAGCTCCCTTTGGTACTCATATCCTCCTCTCACTGTATAGCTGCCCTATTCCTGAAAGTTCCTTGTTTACACTAATATATTCAAGTTAAGCTCAGTAAAACGGCATTGGCAGCCATGACAGATTGCACTGTTGCTTAATAATTAATTTTGTTTTATTTTAAGGTATTAGTTATGGTAATTAAAACTTTGGAGTTTGGACCATGAATCTTTTGTTTCTGTAACTTAACAAGCTGGGAAAATCTTAAATTTATTATGAATTAAGTATGTAAATGGGCTCATTAATCTACTGTATTAGGGAACAATACTCTGACTTCATTACATAACAGTGCTGGATTACAATCCTATTGGGTTTGCGTCACCCTTTTTGATATACAATTATGCATTGCTCAGATCTGCACCTTGAAGAAAGTTGGGGTGTTTTTTTCCTGGTTTGCTACCTGCATCCCTAAAGTGAGAAACTGTATTTGCTTTTCACAGGTTAAAAAGGAAGCCTGGATTTCTGTGCGGCAGGAGCCAAGTGTTGCTCCTCTCTGTGTCTTATGCAGCAAATGTGGCAAAATGCGAATCATCCTTAGCTTGCAGCCTCTGAGATGCTTTGTAATGAGGGCTGCCATGTCTTTGATCTGGCAGCAGAGTTGGCTGATGGTGTTGATCTCGGCCGGTGCCTTTCATGTTTGCTCACCTGCACATGCTTAATATCATTAGAAAAAAAATGCTTTCCAAAAAAAAATTGAGAAAACCATACAATTATATGCTCATTAATTACCCAAATATTTATCTTCTAAATCTTCAAGCAGTTTGATGTTCTTAAATAAAATTTTGTTCTTTTTTATAAATCCTAAATGCTGCACTAGGAAATTTAAGCAGCACCGAGGCAATTTTATTCTGAAAATAAAGCTTTTCAATTGCAAGCACATGCGCATATAATTTCTAATGATTATCTACTGTAATAATAAACAGAGATACCAACTAAGAATAGCCGGTTAAGGAAATTTACCTTATTTTCCGTATCTGGTTCAGATCTTCTTGTCACTGTCTCTGGCCTCAAACCAGCCTTCTCGTATGGCTTCTCTGCTGATTCTTGCTGGTTTTTCTTCATCTTTGCATGCTTCTTTGCCCACAGCCCGTTCATAACTTCTAAAAACCAAAAACCAGCAAGCACATAACTCAGAATCAGATAAAATCCTAAAGATAAAAACAAGGCCTTTATTACCAATACAAAGTTAAAACAAAGAACAAAAACAAACCAACCAGAAATATGTATATATACCTTGAGTGGTGATGAGCCTGTAAACCTGGCCAAGAACAAGAGTATCCGTCGGCCGGAGAAGCTTAATCCTTGTCAAACGAACAGGGTTGACATTGTTGGCGCTGTTGTCTGGACATTTATCATTGTTACTGGAATGATACAAGGTGGTAGAGATAAGAAGAGCAACATAGTGGCCAGGGTTCATCTTCATAATCTCACTAGCACTCATAGGCCAATAAAACTTGTCTACTTTCCCACTTGGGTGCTGAATTACCAGAGTTGCTGCATCAACAGCTTGGCAGTTCCCCATTTTTCCTTTTTTCTGTTGAATGTTTCCCAGGCCTCAAAGGAAGCAAGCAAAGCTAGGAAGAGAGGAGAACTATGCTGCAGTGCCTTTATAGCCAACCACACCCACCAACTTTCGCAAACCTTTTCTTATAATTATAAGACAGTAAGATGAAGGGTAATGAAGGGTAGATGGGTCATTAGCAGCTGGAATAAAGTAGTGATTTAGGTAATTTTAATTGAAACATGCAATGATTTGGTGAGCTGTGACTGGTTGTCTATAGGGACAAGGGGAAAGCACGGACAGAGGTGATTTCCCATTTTCAGTTTTAAGAGAAATACGTTACCAATTCCTTTAGGTCTGCTTCCTGGTCCACCATGGTAGAGCAGCACTGTTCCATAGAGGCTGCAAGATGGCCACGTCAACTAAGATTATCCAAGAACTCGTCTTGGAATGGACGGTTATCCATGGATATGTGGTCTTCTTTGAATAAAAGTCGCCTACTCTTTCTCGATCGACTTCTTTTTCGTAATTTTGCATTACAAGTATAACTTATGAAAAATATATTAAGTGAGACATCAAAACGGAAACAGAAATTTATATACAAACAGGTTTTTCCCACTCTAAGAAGATGGTGTCCAAACAAGCTTTTGTCAAATGAAATATAACAGTAGCTTTTGTCAGAGAATTGTCAAATGTTTGTAGGGATTCTAGCTTAAGCTAGATCTAAGAATCTTCACTAGTTTAATGCAAGTTAAACCAATATTCTAAACCAAGACAAATGTAGTGTATAACTATCATATCAACAAAACTGTTGATTAGATGTCTAGATAAAGCATCTTGGCATTTGCTTATCTCAAATTGTAAAGCTTAGTTTAACCCAAATCTCATCCATACAAAACTTTATCTAAATTGGGACACTGAGAGAGGAAGCATATGACACCAAAGGTCCCATCTGGGGCACGCTCCAGGGAGGGGCGTGAGGCAGCGGTGGACCATGGCCGGATGGGGATGAGCCATGGCCATCGAACCAGGAAGCTAGGCGTGGGAAAAGGAACCACTTTATGAGTGGCGTGGCTGCCTGTGAGGGAGAATAGGGATGGCTCTCTCCACCTTTTCTTTTTTTTATCCTTGTGCGTTACATTGCAAAAGATATCCAAAAAGAAGGATCCAATTTGCCTAAAAGCAAAGCCTTTTTATTGACACCGTGGGAGGCCAACCAAAAATCCCTTCTGTTTTGTTTTGCTTTGCTTTGCTTTGCTTTTTGATTGGGGCACACACCCATATGATGAAAGGAATTCCCTTTGCTTTTACATGTGTTAGATTTGGTACATTGTCAAAGGAATCAACTTGTTTCTAATGGATGATCAGAGGAAGGTATTTGAGTTCAACATCAAGTGCCATGTCAAGATGACAAAGATTTCAACAAAGGATGACACCCGCTGACATGTATGTTCCTCTCATGTAGGCAGTGCTAAACAAGGATGAATACTAGTTTCTTTTCATACCCAATTTAATTAAGCTAGTGAAATCAGCACACTCAATACCCTCACTTACACAACCAATGAGTATTTCTCTTTCACTTGTTTTCTATAAATATTGACTAAATATGTACGTGTGTGAGAGAGAGGATTCTTGAGAAATTATAACTTACTCATATCAACAAAAAATGTCTAATTGAATCATGCAAGTTACCGTTTCCTAATTTAATCCCCTCTTTCTTTATGACATTGTAATTAAGAGTTTGAATTAATTTCCTCCATAAAGTATACATGAAGGAATATTAGATTTATTTAGTAATGACCCCACCAAAAGCTCTGTATGACATGTTATAGTTATAATTAGTCCATCGAGAATAATTTAGCACTTGGTTTTCTTGTTCTGTAATGCATACATTGAATCCATAACCAATTTGTGGTTTATTTGTTTTAAAAAATGGAATTGAATAACCAATTTGTAGCATTATTTTTTGTGGAAAATAATTAAGCATGTGATGCATGCTTTTTATGTATGCATTTCTTTGTTTTTTTCATTTTTTTTTCCATCAGTCAGCCCAAGCTAGTTGCCCCCTCTTTATGACAATGGAATCATGCATAACAAAGTGAAAAATCATTGTCTAATTTTATCCGTATGTTATTCTTCCTTGTTCCTTCGTTTTTATGGCACTACCAAAATTTGGGAATTTGGTTGGGTTCTGATCTATAAATTTGCAGTACTGTTTGAATTGGTTCATGCTGGATGTTGCTACCTGCTGGATCAAAAGAAACCTTAATTTTTCCACCTTGATTTGACTGTGCATGATTTCTTGTGTGAACTTTAGATGCACACAATGACCACTCTGAGGATGAAAATCTATCATTGTGTTTTACAGGGGACCAGGGTCAGTTTCCATCTTCCATGCCTGGTTGCATAAATTGGGAACAGAAACAACTTCATCATACAGATGAAGTTGTGGGGGCACTCACCCTGTCAGATTTTTTCTGTCCTGAAATCTGATGACTGACAATTCTTTTGGTCCCTCTGAGAGTTCCAACTACCCTGATTAAGCCAAGATCTTTCAGACAAGTTCACAAAGATTAATTAACACCAAATCTCACATAAATCTCCTCACTTTTTTCACCTTTTGGCCCCATGACCATCAAATAATTCTCATTATGCTCCACAGGCTGCTTTCCCTTTTTCCTCTTTTTCCCTCTCAGGGGTTGATTATGATCTTACAAAGCTGAAAGTCTAAACCACAGAATGTTATGTATCTATCATTGTATTAAAAGAAAAGAAACTTTGATTTGGTGGTATTTTTATTAATAGACAATTATTCCATTGTGCTTTTGAATTGACTATTCCTAGAGCCTAAGAACATGGTTATCATAGACTCAAAACCAAGAACACACCTGGAAGGAAAAAGAAAGCAAAAGAAAAAGACCCATTTAAATTTTCTTTGCAATTATGGAAAAAGGAAAAAAAAAATTGTAAAGCAAGATTGTTTCCATGTAGTTTTAACCCTGGCTTTGATCTTGTATTCTGATTTTGTAACCAGGTTGCTTTGTCTATTGCATATGGAAAAACTCCAGAAAATTCTGAAATGCTGATATCTATATCATGTTCAACATTATTTATTTCTCAGAAAAGGTAATAGAGCTTGTAAGAAAGAAAAATTTTGGTACCACATGCAGGACTATCTCTTACCAAATCAATCTGATCATCACATGCCAAATTGTCTTTCCAAACTCTTGACAGATTTCTCATGCAAAACCACAAGCTTTTCCTGATTGATCAATCTGCAATTAATTAATGAGCCCATGAAATATCAAATATGTGATTGAGCTAAGCAAACAGCTTCAGATTTTTTGTTCTGGGTATACAGCCATTAACTTCTCAGCTCAGGAATCTATCTTGGAAAGGGACAAAAACATTAATCCTTCTTTACGATCATGAAGCTTTGACTCCTCTCCTCAGCTGTAAATCTTTTCATTTTTTAATCTAAAAAAGAACCCAATATATATATTTTTTTGTTACAACCATGAAAAGTTGAAAACCTATAGGAACTTGAGGTTTGAGGTCACTTGAAACCCTTTTTTTTAATTAAAAAAAGAAGTTCATAATTTAATGGACCAAAATCCTGGATAACATTTCTTAATGGTTAAAATGTCTGAAACCATGTGAAAGAGTTAGGTACTCTCCTTTCCTAAATTATTCACCATCCCCCCTCTGCAAAATATGGCCAAAGATGGTGGACTGTACCTATTAAATTATTGCATGAAATGTCAGAACTTCTTTGTACAGAATCTGTACATCTATACATATTAAATGGAAAAATCGGACTTTTCTTAATAAAAATAATTGATTCATATTCATTTGAGTATAAAAAAACTAGTGGGTAGCATTGAACTCTTCCTCCTTCTCATGAATTGAAGTGAATGGGAACAACATTTTGCAGGGGTCCCATATTGTCACTACCTGGCATTTATATTTGAAATTCTAACAACACCTCCCTCACCAAACAACATTCAGAGTAGTTTCAGGATTCTGGGGATGGATGTTTTTGTTTCTTCTAGCTTATGTACCTATATCACATAGCACAGAAACAAGAAATGAGCTTACTGTATAATAAGAGCTACTAGCAAACAAAAGTGATTCAGCAAAACTCCAAAATTTTCTTGCTTAATTTTTGCGCACAGTCACTGGGTTGCTTGTAGGTAGATGATGTCTATGATTAAAGAATACAGAGAATGTTCTGTCAGTTGGGTGATTTGAAAGTGCTTTCCACCTTAGGAATAATCTGATTTGAATTTGAACTGCAGAAAATAAGAATCAGGTTGCTTAAATCTTTCTAAAGAGCAATAACACAACTTTATAGCGTGATTAGTACCACAATAATGAAATTGTTTGCATACCCTTTGGTCAGCTTCCATTAATTTAATGCTCACTATTAGCCTAGACCTGATAATTTAATACGATCCATTAACATGACACGAAATTAAATCAATTAGGGATTAAGATTTCTTATGTTTTAATAGAACGTTTATTACCTTTAAATGGAAGTGCTGGAATTCTTTTGGAATATTTTTTTCTGAAATGCCAATATAAACAATCATCCTATATGGAAAATGGTTGATTCATTGATCAATGAGCTAAAAAGCAAGACTAATGTGGGAGCTGGATTTTGAGATTCTCTCAGCACTTGTTAACTAATACCTATAAAGGTTGGGAGTGAAGTGATAATGTTTTTATTTGTTTTTAATAAAGTTTTTTCATGCACCAATGGAGCACTAAAATCAGAAAGGCCTTTACCACCAGGTGAAGCCTCTCCAATTCCTATCTGCTTTTGCAGCATCAGCTGCAGCAACTTTAAGAAGAGACCCTTTTTTTCTTTTTCCTCTTTTACTCTTCAGCAACTAGAAAGAATATTTACTTGTACAAAACCAACCACATATAGCCATCAGGGATCCTGTTCATCCAGGTTTAGGGCAAACAAAGTAGATAAGAGAGAATTAAGGATCAGTTCCTTTCCAGTTTACTCAGTTATCTGTTTTCTCTTTTTCTTTTTCCTTTTTTTTTTTGTGTTCCCTATCAGATTAGTCCAAAAGAAAACAAAGCACCTCGATTCCATAACCCAAACCAAATGTTTCACCTCACAAAGTTTTGCTTCCCTCCAGAAAGATCCCCTCTGAAACCTTTCTGCTGCTTTTTTAGCTTAGAAGTACAAAACCAAGTGAATGTTGGGTGGATTTGTTTGTGGATAAGCTCCCATTGATCTTTGAATTTCATATTATAAATTATTTTTTCTGTGTACGTGTAAAAGGATTTATGAAAATGGAATAATCATCATCATGACATCTTCTTTTTAGGTTAGATACAAATCTTTCAGATCAAAAAATAGGAGATTCTACCATCATGGATGGCAATATTATTGAAAAGCCAGTGTGGTTGATTTCTAAAGTGCTTGCTGTAAGGAAAAAGTAGATGCAAAGCTTGAGATAAAAGCACTTGAATTAATTGATTGATGGAAATAGAATTTTGTGGGAGCAACTGTATTTCCAGAAGGCAAGACTGACAACTGGCATCTGTTCTTATTAACCCTGAAATTCATTTCATCTTGTTCCATTGTCGTCTCTGCTTTACTATATTTAATATCACCAGACCAGAGTGGATACCAAATACCAAGAAGGGCTGAGATTCTGTAGTAGACATCTACAAGAAAGTTAGTATGGCAGGTTTTGTTATGCCTTGACATGGCCTTCCGGAACGGCCTAAAAGACGGCACTGCCACTTAGCTATATTAGTTTTCGACAAAGATGTTAGTTATAGCTGGTTTGTTCAAAGAATTTGCAAGTAGTAACTCAGTTTCCTTTTATGAAGATCAATGGTATGAGAACACACCATTTTCTGATGCACAGAATCCATTTAGGACGGTTAGTGCAGAGCATCCCTGTAACTCCGCCCATACTGACAAATATTGGAAGAGAATCCAATTCTGAAAAAGTAAACAATGCTTGCACCAGCTCAGTCCAGTCCTATTTGAGCCCAAATTTGCTGTTCAGACATTATTAATTAGATTACAAGGAATTGCCAATACACTAAAAGGCTAGAAGCTGGTTCAAATCAATTTCACAAATCAGCATTACAAAAAATTTTCTTGCTCTTTTTAGTTTCATTTTTCCCTCTTAACAGAGTTGGGGAATGGAGCAGGGAAGTTTACTCCTAGTACACTTGGATCCCATGATCTCCATCAATTTACCCTCTACCAAGAACGACCCGAAAAAGGAGTCAATTAGAAAGAAGGATACACAAAGCCACTTTAGAAACTCAAGATTGTGGACTTCGTAACTAGTTTACAAATAGATGAACCCTCTGTAAGACAGCCTCCATGCTTCATAAATCAGGTTATAAGAAAGTCCAAATCTTTTCATGACCTGATAAGGTAATGTAGATTGCACAACGTACCATCAGGTTGCTTTATATCCTTAGCATGTTGAATATGCAGATAAAGAAATTAGTGAACTAACATTTATACAGCAAACATGAAAACAGGATGAATTGAACAGAGGCATTAAAACTGCTTCATTGCTAGTTCAAATCCACACGTCTGTTGGATTTACAGCAAGAAAAAAAAACAATAATTCAATAAATATTCTACGCATCCTATAAAGGGAAACACTATGTTATGCTGCTAAAGCGTGTGATACAATTCACAACAGAGAATTAATGGTTGGCGATAGTAAGATGTGATCGACAAGGTGCCATTCAGAACTTAACAAGGGGCAATACTTGATAAACCGCCTTTAACTCAGCAACTCCTAGTATATCACACAGATGGGAAATATTTGTTTAGGTTGAAGGGGAGGGAATAAAATTCTTCACTCCTTGAATCACCCTTGAAGGATCGGAACTTGTCCCACCAGTGCTTACCCCTGTCCTTCCTAATTGAACTGTCCTTGCGATGCAATGTGTTGTCAAGGAAATATGCCAAGCAACCCGCAACAAATGCTTCTGATGATAAAGGAACATTTACAATGTCGTTGAACTGTCAAGCAACGAACAAAATTCTTGTCAGTGAGACCCAATTAACTACAATATGATTACAACAAAAGGTTATTTTAAGATTAAAAGTTAAAGAGATTTAGTATGAATACCCATCTCGCGCCTGTGTGAACTGGACCATAGCCATTAAGTGCAGTATACTCGTTGAAGTACTGTGGCACAGATAAGCCCATAAAAACAGAGAAGCCTAGTATAAACTTTGTACGGAAGCTGTTGAGGTTACAGAATTGAAGAAAACTAAGACCTCCCGCACCTGCAGAATGAGGAAATTCAATACATAAATACTTGAAACAGCTTACAACATATCATAGATCCACATGCTTGCTCGTGAACAGCTCGAATCAGACACATACCGACATAAGCAAAGAACAGGCAGTACAAAGCAGCAATAATGGGTGCTGGAATTGAGGCAAAGACTGCTCCAAATTTCCCTGCACATTCATGATATATCAACAACAAATAGGAAAAAAAATGCTCAAAGACTTTTAAAAAATCTCATAAATCAACAAATTACCAAGAATGGAGAAGAAAATCATAAATCCAGCAGAGATTTGGACAACTCTTCGGCTGCCAACTCGTGTCAAGGCCAAAAGACCAGCATTCTCTCTGAAGAGAGACCAAAGTCAGTATAAAAATTCTGTTTTCAATTGATTGAACAGGGAAAAAAAAGGTCCAACAATAACTTTCATTGCTAATCAGAGCCTTACACAGATACTGAGGATCCATTGACAGTTCCAAACAAGCCTGAGACCAAAATTGCAACTCCCTAAAGCAGGGCAAAAAAGGGTAAGTTCACAAAGATAAGAATTCAATACTAACATGACTTGAAGTTCAGCAAAGGCAGATAAAATTTCCAGATGTCCAATGGAAATGCAGGATCCTGTGGCAATGTTGATGACTTAATGTATATGAATTCATGTAATTTGAGGCACAAGATTAATAGTAGACCAATCCAATGTGATCATAAAGCATAAGGCAGCCAATTTAACTAATAATGTTAATTTTATAATTTTTTTCACATTAGACGCATGCAAATCAACAAGCTTTTTCAAATTACCTGCCAACCAACACCACGGCTAAGAATAGAGGGTGGCATTGGAGTCGCACTTGCATATCTTGATACCGCAGTAAAAGCCCCAGTGGACTGTTTATGACAATGGACAGAGGTAAAAGGTTACCTTTCTTTGAATTATTAAATAAAACTTCAATATTGCTAAGATGTATGCTTAAACAGCAATACAGAACAACCAAATCACCAAAAAATATTGAAAACCAATCATTCTTTAACTCTAAGGGAGAAAATGAAAAAACTCTGCCAGTTGATACAAAAAGAGCTGAAATAAAATGGCAGTGCAGGAAAGTCAATAAGAAATAACTTGAAAGAAAATAGTAGCAAAGAAAAATAACAAAGATGGCAATGACATTCAATTCAGTTTTTTTTATTAGAAACAACAAAATAAGAAGAATAGAAAACGATTTAAAAGTTAATAAAATTCATAAATAACAGAAGAAAACAAACCTCTACAAGAGCAACAAAAGAAGCCATCATCATAGCAAAGGCTTCACCAGCATCGAATGAAGGAGCTCCCCATTGAAAGGGATACGGAACTCTTATCCTGCAAATCCATAATTTTTGTAAGCAATGATTATAACTTAGCCATTCTTGAGAAAAGATATCATATTATGGTAAAAGAATCTTAAGGTTGTTATCAAATCAAATCCACATTTGCCTTCTGTACCTTAGATTCTCTATTCAATTTAAAAAGACTATTAAACTTATGAAGCAAGTCCATAACTGAAACTTCTAGAAGGCAACTAGAGCCGGATTGAATACGTCACAAGCATTATCCAATATGTACCAAAATTTTTAATTTGTAGAGGTAGAATTTCCTCACATAGAACATATAAACACCAGTCTTGCCTAATCAGCTAGCCCCTTTGTTGAAATGTGTGACCAACCCATTCAATTGATTATGAATTAGAGTGAAACCCTATGATTTAAGAAAATGTACCCTAGAATAACAAAAGATTTTCACGTGCACCTCTCTCAAAATAAATAATTTAGCATTATCCAATATGTACCGAAATTTTTAATTTGTAGAAGTAGAATTTCCCCAGATAGAACATATAAACACCAGTCTTGCCTAATCAGCTAGCCCATTTGTTGAAATGCATGACCAACCCATTCAATTGATTATGAATTAGAGTGAAACCCTATGATATTTAAGAAAATGTACCCCAGAGTAACAAAAGATTTTCATGTGCACCTTTCTCGAAATAAATAATTTATAGGTTAAATCATGCATGATATACCAATCGAGAATTGCAAAGGGGACAACTGCTCTAAGGATGCTGCATGAACTCACCATGGAGCAGCATCTATTAAACCAGCACGATCGGTGCGGCAGCTTATCTGTGTCTTTGGTGCTTTACCATTATAAGCTCCACCCACAGTGAGTAAATGCGCATAAATCCAAACAACCGCCACAGTGAATATGACAGCAAAACGATCAAAGATGTGTCTTCCAGCTTTTATCACATGAGGCATGTACTGCACAATAAGCACAAACAACCAATTATTGTTTTGATACTGAGAAAAAATCTCAAATATGTGAGCTATAGATATAAGATGGACAACTGCACTTTTTGAAAATTTTAAAGCACTACCTGTGAGATAAATACTATGAGAATTAGCTGAGGCAGCCCAATCTCCACACATTTGGCAACCTAATTATTGAAACAATAGTCAACATCCATATGATGATAAAGATAATGGTACACTGTCAGACTATGCATTTTCATAGTATATAATGTGAAACAGAGACTTACCCCAGGAAAACCAAACTCATAAAGCCCAAAACCAACTAGAGATACCAAAGGAACAACTGAAAGTGGACTTAAAAACCTGAAAAATGGAAACATATACCCATATGATTAAAATAAATTAATTGCAAGCGTCTCATTAAAATATTTGAATTTGTTCCAGATGTACTGGAGCAAACATTCAATTGAACCAGCATGAAGCAAGTATTAGTCCGGGAACCAGCAATTCAAAAACAGAATCTGCTTACAATAACAAATATCAAACATATAAGACCAAGATACAATCAACTTTATTACAATTACTTCAAAGCTACAAGGAAAAGCATATATGGCTAAGGCCTTCAAGCTTTCCATGAAATAGTAAGCAATAGTCAACTAACCTTGTAACATTACGCCAAAGGCCACTGAAGCCAAGGACAATCTGAAGAGTTGAAGCAACAATGAGGGAACCCTGGATTGCCCGCATAATCCTTTTAAATCTCTGAAAAGGCATCAAAACACAATATATAAATAAACCACATAAAACATCAATAAGCAGAATGCTGGTGCTCAAACTCGATTCCTTTTTCTGTATATTTACTTTTTCAAATTATAAAATACAAAAAAGTGTCTAGAATCTTGAACTCCTATCAAGAAAAAAAGGAATGCATTGTAAACATCTCTATACTGTTCTTCCAATGGGATGTTGAAGAAATACAGTATCACATCAGTTATACTCAAGCTGGATAGAAATTGTCTCCACTATGGCAATTAGGTAACTGCTTGCTCTTCCATATTAAGAAGCAACTTTAGCAATTCCAAAGCCCAAACAAACACCGGCATATACAGTAAAATGGAGTTTAGATCACAAAACCTCGATAGGATCTGAAGTATCACTGAACCGACCAGCAAGGATAATTGAAATTGTGGTTGGGACAAATGTATAAGATCCTCCAATCACAGCAGGCAATCTAGTCCCAAACAGTGTCTGCAGCAATGTGTTTAAACCAGCAACAAAGAGCAGTGTCTGGATCACCTTTGCTTTCTCCTCCTATAAAAGTCATTGCAATAACATGTTTGAAATTATCATGTCCAGGCAAAGTACCATAGTGATCAAACTACGTAACAAATGTTGAATCTTTATGTAGATTTATTTTCATTGGGCTTTACATTTCCACCTCCCATCTGGGGAACAAGAGAAGAGGGGATGATCACTGTTGTTCCAAGCATCACTATATAATGTTGAAAACCAAGAAGGATGGCCTCGGCTGCATCAGATACACACCAAAATGCCAACAGATTAGTTTGCCATGTTTTACTACCAGTGTACAAATGCCAGCAAAAATGGAGTTATTACATAATAGCCAAGTGAAGGCGTATCCACAACAGTTATTTATCTTCACACCATCAAAACAATAAATGAAAATTTTCCTCAATTTGTTTGAAGTAGAAAGTGAACACCCCAGAGAAAATTAAAGATAATTTGGAAGGGGGGGGGTGTTTAGGTGAAAGACAAATAGAAAATGCCAGTTAGAAGAGGAAATGCTTAACAAAATTGAACCAAAAGGAGTCAATTAACAGAGAGAAGTTGGCTTCAGATTGACTTTAACCAAATCAATAGGCAGATGACTTAGAATACCGTCCTCAGTTACCAAAGCGGAATACATGAAAAGAGATTTTAATATATATATATATATTTCTCATTCTATAAAATAAACCCAAATTTTAGTACACGATGAATTATCAAAAAGTAGTAGGTATGTTTTATTTTTCTTTTCTTTTTTTTCTCATCCTCACAGAATTAGAATATAAAATAAACCAAAATTAAAAAGATTTTTTCTTTTTCGCAGAATAGTGGCACTTCGCTTTTCCAAAAAGTGGTATCTAAGCCGAAAGAAGAACCCAAAAAAGCTACTTACTTTCAGCTGAAAAAGGAATTTACAGAAGATGCATATCCAAAAACAATGACCAATACCAAAACCTTACCTAAAACATTCCCTGGTGGATTCACAAGAATCACACTCTAAACCAACCAAAAATCTAACATAATACCTCAGGAACTGAATTCAAAATTTAGAATCTAAGCAGTCAAAACCAGGAAAAACAACCAATAACAGAACAGCAGGGTTGAAGAAACTCACGCCATGGAGGTGGACTTGTAATGCAATAAGAAACGTTGGGTAGCTGTTCCTTTGGTGGATGTGGCTGTGGCTCATCTGCTTTCGCCGGAGCTCTTCCTGCCATGATCTCTCTCTCTCTCTCTCTCTCTCTCTCTCTCTCTCTCTCTCTCTCTCTCTATATATATATATATATATATATATATATACACACACACACAAAAACACCAACTTCTTAGAACCAGTAAGTGTAAACTACTAAATCTGAGAACTACCCAGATCCCAAATCTTAAAGAAAGTAACTAAAACAGCTAGAAGCAAGAGAAAACAAAGGAAAACAAGATCACCCAAAAGGCCAAAAGAGTAAGCCACTTACATGTGCAGCTACTAATATAGAGCTAATAAAGGGAAGAAGGATATGGAGATGGGAGCCTGGGAAAGGTTAAGGGACAAAAAAGTGAAGCTAAAGATAATGAAATCTTCACAAAAGATTTTCAATTTGAAGATAAGAGATAGATGAAATGAAATGTGGGGGAGCAGTGAGGTGTTAGTAATTGCAATAGCAAAATAATGAGTGAAAAAAAAGGTTGTTACAATGAAAGAAAGAACCTTTTGGCAAACTTCGAAGCAAAATCAAGTGAAAAGGCATTAAAGTCAACAATAAATCATCTTACCCCACACCACCTAAAAATGGTTCCAGTGAAAAAAAAGAAGGGAAGAAAAGAAAAAACTGAGCAAAAATAGCAGAGTAAACTTAAACAATCCCGGTGTTCTTTGAAGCAACAGAGTACAATTGCAACATTTTACGAGAATTCAGAAATGTGTAAGCAATTTAAGCTTGAATTCAATAATGACAAGGAGTGCCAACTTACTTTGTACTCAACTTCTCTCTCTCTCTCTGTCTCTCTTTATATGAAGCAGAGAGCCTTTTTGTTTCTTCTATGGAAACTACAGTTTCTTAATTACATTAAAAGAAAAAAAAACACAAAAATAAGTTAACCAGCATAGCATCCATTACGGTTGTTTTTATTTTCTTTTTTCGAATTATGAAAAGCAGAGATTTTGAAGGGTAGAAACTTCATGAAAATTTTATATTGACAAGTTGGTGACGTGAACGATGTCGTGTGGTGTTGTCTTGGCAATATCAATCCCCAGGTGTCCAAACGGTCCACCTAGTTTCGATAAACCTACACGTTTTGTCAGGAAAATGACGGGATTGACCTTGGCAAGGTGGCACCCACGTGGGCATGTTTTACGGGAACTTCAGCAGCGCAAATGATTGAAAGGTGGGGGTAGTTTGGGGAATTGTTAAATGACGATCACGTGTGGAGCGGTAGGGGATGACCATGAGTAGGAATTGCGGGGTCGGGGTGCCCTAAAACCAAGGGCCGATGGAGCAAACAAGGGAGGAATGCGAAGACAGTCAAAGCAAAACCGACACACTCCCTTGTCCACCCCAACGGTAAATAGTGTGCCTTTAATAATGCCGTGGGCACCTTTAATTTACGGAATGAAATAAAATATCTTAAAAATAAAATAATTAATATATAATTTAATTTATAAATCAAAATTATCATTTTATTAGCCCTCTTTGACTAACAGTTCACTCACAACTGGCAGCCTACAAAAGTTGCTCTTCTACTTTTGTTAGCCCATAAGGACTAAGCCCCCACCAATTTTGCCCATTGGTTTAGGTACTCTTTTAGATATGGCTCAAGATTTTTGTCTTGTAAAAGATTTTAATACCATCTAATTTCACTGCTAAAGGTGGTGATCCATCCTCTTATACGCGTTTTATTTCGAGAAGATATTTAAAATCCAATTTCTTATAAGAAAAATATGAGCATTTATAAATATATTTGTTTTCTTTGAAAATACATATAATTTGTTGTTGGGTCCAATACCGAATTGTAATAACAATCAAACTGTTTACGTACAAGAACAATTAAATTTAAACTACTTCCATAAAGAGGTAGATATTAGGTAAACAATTGAGTCCAACTCTAAATAATGTAGGATGAGATTTGTAGGAGTTGATTGCGTTCTTTCAAGGTTCTTTATTTTAATTTAAAGTTAAAAATAAATAAAATAAAATCGACCTTTATTAAAGTTACTTTTTTTCAAGTTAATTTAATAAAGAGACTAAATCTAAAATTAAATTTGTCAAAAATTGCAAAGATTTTTCAAAGAAAATGACATGTAGTGCGTTGGTTGGTTAGGCTTCGCGAATAAATGTTAAAGATTAGGAAAGCCTTAACAATGGGGACAACACAGAGACAAATAGTATCATCTGGTTGTAGCATGCGACGTATGAATCTTGAAGGGGACCAATGAAAATTATGTAACATATTTATGTACCCAAACATCTCAATATAATCATCGAACAACCCTATCTTTTAAACGTTTGTTAGAATTTAAATTTAAATCTCGTTATATGAAAATTTGGTTTAATTTTATATTAGTTTTATCACGCGTGTGTCTATATACATATAATGAAAATTATTTGATTTGTAATTGAAATTTAATATAATCTTATAAAAAATTAAACGCTTCCGTATAAAATTATAAAAATTTTGCTCAATCAATTAGTGTATTTCTAAACCCAAAATTAATGGGAAATTAATTTGATTTTTTGTTACAATAATTTGTTATTGGTTTTCTTGTTAAGATGAACAATCTACCATGCTTTAAAAAATTAATGAAAGGTTCAAGAAAATTGACTGCTGTTTAATCATATTATAATTTTGTATTTGATTCTGATGTTACTCTTGATCTCCCATGCTTGTCACAAAAAATAGTTTATTGGATCAAAACAAAACTAGGTAAGATGTTGAAATTTGAATTCAATGCCTGCAATTATCAAGGTTTTTACCCTCAACATCAAATAGAGATATAAGTTTTGATACAATATTCAAATAAACTTTTAAACTATTCAAGTAAATTTAAATAATTTTTTATTTAGATCAAATAATCTTTTATTATTAATAATTAATAAAAATATAATTTATTATTTTATATCTACATGATATTGATATGAAAAATAAAAAATATCATACTATCATATTATTATTTTAAATTAGCATGTCATATAATATCAATTTTTTTTAAAAAAAATATAATATTAATTATGATATGTCAATATGTCATATCATAATTAATTATATTATTTTAATATATTAGATCAATATAAAATAATAAATAATATTTTGACTAAGTCAATTATTAATCATAAATATTTATTTAACTAAAAATAAAAAATATAAAAATTTATTAGATTCAAAATAAAAAATACCAAAACTCAATTAAACATAATAAAAATATAAAAATTTATTCAAATTTTTTTTTTGTATATTATACCTATATATTTTTGTCGTTTTTTTGTTAAATCTGTAGGTTACTTTAAGATGCTTTTTGGGTCGTTAAATGTTTTATTCTGTTATTTTCATGATGATTAAGACAGAAAATTTATTTGGATATAATGGAAAGAGTAATTATCATTTTACGCTAATGCAAGTCAAAATGTTGAAAATTGAATTCAGTGCCCTCAATTATCAGGTTCTCTTGCCTTTTGCAAGACTCAACTTCGAATGGACACGTGTTTTCGTTACGTCTGCCAGTTATTATAAAATATTTCTTCTCTTGCTAAATGTTTTTCCTCTTCTCTTTTTTGACTAAGATAAAAATTTAATTTAGATATAAGGGGGTTAGTACAAAGCCAAAACTCATATTTCGAGATTGAATCATGCAAAGAACACTGACCAATTGGGTACAATTATATAAAGAAAATGTCAATTAGTTTCATTGACAAAGTAAAATTGAAGGACCATTGTTTAACTTTTTCACTAGAATATTGTTGAAGGTGAAGAAAAAAAAGGCGCACACAGCATCTTGAAATCAGGAATTGCAGGTGATATGATACACCGACATGAGTTAGCAATGATGATGATATTGGAGAATAGCTGGACATGGTTGATTGGACCATGGACAAGTTTGTCAATACTTGGAAAGCCAAGTAAAGGAAAGAGAAAACAAAGATAGCTCTGGGGTTTAAATTATTGAAGAGGGGAGTAGCTGGTCAAGCTTTGTCTTCTTCTTGGGTATGCGGAATCATCTAGCATTCAATAATAGATAATAACAATCTCCATCAATCAAGCTTTGCTTTTGGGCAAATGGAGGCAAATGGAGAGATCAGATTGGTGGTAGCTTCAAAGTGTTTGTCCCAAATCACCCAACGTTAATTGAATGAAATAAGAATAAGGATCTCATGAAGGCCCAAAAACTACATAGTATAAGGGATAATGATGGGGGATTTGAGGGAGGAAAAAAGAGTGATTAGGGGTAATGATGATGAAGGTATTAGGGAGAAAGAAAACAAGAGACAGAACGTGGAGGTTGCTTTCAGGTCCTTAAGGGTACCCCAAACTTTGGTCATAGAGGGACCACTTCTTGGGGAAATTCTCTGACCTTTATTGAATATTGGGAATATGGCTGTTTTCTCTGTCTTGCTTTACCTTTATTTTTCTCATCCATAAAGGGACTTTTTAAGCTTTTGGGTATTTTTGCTATTAGCTTTATGATGGGTGAGGATTATTTTATGGAAGGTTGGTGAGTTCTTTATTTCCTCTTTCTTCTTTTCTCACTCAAAAATGCGAATGCTGATTGGACTAGACTGGACTCAAGTGGCTGGTTGCTCCATCTCTTTCACACAGGACGTGCCTTTATGAGGGCTACAGGCCCATCTTTAAGGGCCGAAAGGTAAACAACAAAAAAAAATTAATAGTTAAAGAAAATTTTATATATAATTTAATTCTCAATTATGTATAAAATTAAATAAAATTTATAAGATATTGAACGTATTAAAAAAAAATATATTAATAGTAATAATGATGCAATATATATATAATTAAAAAATTATAGAAAGAGTCTCGCTTACTCTTTCTGTATAAGAATAAAAGAAAAAATAATTTTTTAAATTCAAATAAATTATTTTTTTTATGTGTTTTATACGAAATGTATAGTTTTTTTATAAAGTTCTTCTCTTACTTTTTATGTGTTTTTTGAATTGTTAATTAACCTATTGAGTTATTAGATTAAATTGTTGATATATAATATGATACGATAGATTATTGGGTTGAACTGTTAATATATAATATGTTATGATAAGTTTATATTTATATTAAGACTTTGTGAGATTAGGTCAGTAAACTTATTTTTATTTTTTTTACATTTGATTAGTGAGTAAGAACTTATATGACAACTAATAATATCCTGATAAACTCTAATTTTATCAAAAGGTTGAAGTCATGTATAGTAAATGAAAATTTTTTAAAATTTTTGAAAAAATGTAATTTGATGATAGAATCATTTTATTATTTTATTAATTATTTAATAAAAAATTATTAAAAATATATACAATATATAAAAAATTTTAAAAATTTTGGGTGGCCATGGGACGCTGCGCCCCTGAAAGCAATCCAAGCATAACCAAATATTATCCATGCACAAATCTTAGCAACTCTAGGGGCTTGAGGGGTATTCATCGAGCCAGGGTACACTGTTTCCAATATTTCCAGTACGACTGTATCTTATGACAATATGTTAGTATTATCTTATGCCACTATAAATTCAATTCCTGGAGGTATCTTTGATTGCAGCTCCATAGCCTGCTGCTTAGCAGATTTGTAATCCCATGATTCTCTAAACCTAGACTCTTTTCTGCTGTCAAGGTAACATGGCGGGCATGGATCAATCATTAACTTCTCAAGCAGCGGAGCATTCTCAAGCAAGTGGAAAACCATCTCCATTACGGCTGGAACCCTGACAAACCCATACAGTTCCACAACTTTAAAGCTTGGATGAGGATTTTCCAATGAGATCTTCGATAGCTCCCTGGCTGAGCAATTTGAGCAGATCGTTGTCTGTGATGACTCCCTGGATGGCCAATCTAAGCAGAACATAATCTGTGACATAAAACAAAGGCAGACGTAGATATAGGTTCCAAATAGAAGCAAAACACAAGACATTTTGAAAGAATTCTTGCTGCAGACACTTTGACAATGTTAAAAAGCAGGGGAGATGGGGGATACGTGAACTCAGAAACACCCAAAGCAAAGGCAAGGGCACAGGCATAAGAAAATTTACCTTGAGCGTAAATGTATGTAAGAAAGGAGCCGCTGTTAGCAGTAAAGTGAAAGAAGGGAAAGATTGGGAAACACATGTAATTCCGCTCTCCAATTCCAAATGCTTGAGATTACTCAGTGTGGGAATGTTCTTAAGGAACGGCCAAGCCTGGGAAAAAATCCCATTTTGAGAAGTCTAGAACAGTGCAAAAGCAATTTTCAGAGGATAAACCAAATGGGCACATGCAGATTAAGTATAACACTTACTTTAGCTTCGGACACATCGAAACTAAGAGACTCCAACTGTGAGAGATCGATTTGGAGCTGCGAAAGGTGATAAATTTGAGATAAATAGTTTCCTCCAACTAATAGCTCCAGGAGATGGGGTAGATTCAAAGCAATAGGGACACCATATCTCCCATTGTAAAACAATGACACGAGATTGACAGCATAAATTTCAACCTTCTTCAGGAAATGGCAGTTTCTTAGCTCCAAGCATTTCAGGTTTACCGATGCATCAGAAGCTATAAACCTCAAGCGATGGACACTGAGTTAAAAAGTAGTCAAGAACCTGGTCGCTCGCATCCACGTTTTTTAAAAGTAAGGATGTAAGACAAGTGAAGCTTGAAGCACATGGCAAATGCAAAGGGAAGGAGTAGCTCCCATCATTGCGAGAAGGTAAGATGGCTCTAAGGAAGGGTTCGCGCCCACCTAAGTCTCCGGCTCCAGGGAAGTCTCCGCCTCTGCGTAGGACTCCGTCTCCGAGGAAGCGTCTGGCTCTAAGGAGTCCTCCAAGGAAGTGTCCGGCTCTAAGTACTTATCTGGTTCTAAATAAGTCCAACTCAAGACTTTGAGCTCTTTTATCAATGGCGAAGCTGATCCAATTATCAACATCCGAGATACAGTTCACATCAGAATGAATTCTTAAACCCTTTATAGTTGGAACTCGAAGTGATTGCAGAATTCCGTTTACCCAAGTCCTAAAGTTAAGCCTTTCAGCATCAATCTCTCCTCCCAAAATAGAAGGAGACATCACATTTACTTTAGCGGATGCATCAAAGCCCAGAAAGCCTCTAAAATGCGTCCAAGAAAGTCTCCATTTGCTTGAAAGGATGCGTCCAAGAAAGTCTCCATGGTCAAGCGAGATAGAATATCTGCCATGACTTCTTTTGGCAATGAAGTGATACGATCGACCTTGGCATCGGTTTCTTCTATTTCTGGTTCAGGGTTACCCTGCAAGCAAAAGGGAAGGAACACAATCTTTCTCAGGTTTCATACTTGACATTGCCATGGCTATGTACTCGTCAAATTCAGAACAGGTAAGATCAATTTCAAACTTCATGTGTTGAATTTCATATTCACGAATTTTAAACCAAAACATGTGAAGTTGGAAAAAAATTAAAATCCAAAAATACAAATTTAAATATAAAGATAAATAATTGGGATTAGGAACACAATACATGCAAGCAAATAATCAGGTAAGGCTAAGACTAACAAAAAGCATTACAGCATTAATTAAGACCAAAAAGAATAAAGTTGATATACATATACAGCTTACCGTTGTACTTAGGATTGCCATCCTCTTTTCCATCTTGTTCAAACCAACAATTTTAGGAAAAGAAAGCTGCTCTGATCGTACACAGATAGAACCTCGGGCTGCAACCTCCTCAATTTTCTCCTATAAATGCAAAGGCATTATCAACTTATGATATTCAAAGCATAATTAACAGCAAAATCATGTGAAAAGCATTATATCCTTTTTTCTAAGTCTTTTTTTTTTACCAATGCCATACTATAAGGATGAAATGTATGTACCTTTCAAATCATTAAAACCCGAACAAAAAAAATTGTCTAGCACATAGCAGGATTTCACACTTCTAGAGCTGGATTTCCGACTTCTTTGAATTAAAAGTAAGGTGTCAGAAAAGGTTTATTCAAATCATGAAAAATCAGATAGATTATGCATACCCTTAGGTAGTGATTTGTAGCTTTAACCATAGCAATATCTGTTTCCTATAACATAAGAAATTTTAGCAACCCAAATTCTGAATGAACTTCTAAAGAACAAATTCAACTGAAAATCTTGATGTATTAATCTTGTTTCTAATTTTTTTTTTCTTTCAGGTGCATTTTTCAAATTCGTGTTCACCACACACTGTGCAGTAGCTATTGTTATCATCTTCAAGTTGGTACCTGAGACAAAGGGCCATACCTTGGAAGAGATTCAGGCTTTTATAGGAAAACCTGATGATGCTTGCATGCTATAGGAATATGTAGAATGTTTGTCTTGGTTTTATGTCTAGAGTTTTATTAGAAAATAACACTTGTTACAGATTGTCCTTTCCTAAGGATCAATATGAAGTTTCACCAAGATAAACATTTGATTAGTCTGCAAACTGATCATAACACTTATTTGCACAATTTTGCACTAGACTAAAGAAAGATGGTAGACAATAGAGATCATCAACTCAAAATTTTCATAAATAACATGATAACCAGCCATTTAAATAAGTAAGGAAAGATACCTTGGATTCAGTACTCTCTTCTATTTCGGGTTCAGAGTTACCCTGCATGCAAAAGTAGAAGGAACACAACCCTTCTCATCGACCCAGTGATGTTAAATTCGTATTCTTTAAACCAAAAGATGTGAAATTGAAAACAAAACTAAAATCCAAATGCTCTGCCTCTCATCCTTCACAGATGGGGATAGAATTGGAAAACTCAAGCAGACAACTGCAAACCTCCTCAACTTTAGCATATTTTCTTTCCTTTTTATAAGCTTTTCCCCTACGACGTGATCATATTCATGCAACTGACTGCATGGAACTAATTAAAGAAATGGCAAAAGTAAGGGTCCGGCCCATCATACCTCTCTTTGATAGGCCTGGGCTCTTAAGCCCCATCGCATATGTCTGACTCTCTGGCAAGAAACGCCCCAAATTCTTTATTACTCACAAGAATTCTTAGCAAAATCAAATCAAATTTTAACCATGTTTCTGTCGAGGTTTGTTGGGAGGACAGCTCTCTTGGCAGCTGCTAAGTCAGGCAGCTCAGCTACTGCTGCTGCTGCTGCGGCCGCAACGGGTCCTAATCCTCTTGAGCAGTTCTTTGAGGCTGATAGAAGCCCTGATGACGAAAAGCCTGTCTACGGTACAATCCCTGTATACTTCTTCATTTTCATTCTATTGACCGTGGGTTTTCTTTGCTTTTTCCATTCTAGTTTTTTTTTTTTTTTCCAAATTCCTGTTAAAATATTTGCTGTTTCTATTGGTGGTGTTGTTATTTACTTTGACTTAAAAAGGAAGGCCGTAGTCCTAAATTGTTAATTGAAGAGGGAAAGTATAGCTTAGGAGTGTTGAAGTCAATTAAGTAATGGAACAAGCAGTTTACATGTTTTAATCTTTGGTGTTGAGTATGAATTCTTAGTATAATGTGAGCATTGTTTCCATCGGGAGAGAGAGAGCAGTGTGTATGCTTCCTCATGTGAAGCTGCAATTTTGATTTATGATACTCCTTAACATAAGACTAGACGTCTACATGCCTTTGCAGTCATCTTACCCCCTGTATTCCTGAAAAATGAAAATTGGCAATTAGCTGGTCAGTTTATAAAATTGTTTCAAATTTCAATGACAACATTTCACTTGTGTTTCTTCCATTCATAGCGGCAATCCTGGGACCTAGAGTTCATAATTCATAATGAAGCAAAAGCCATCAGAAATGATTGAACATGTCATTGAAACTGATACAATCTTTGAACTTCTTGAAAGTTTGAAGCTGCGGATTACTACACATTCATGCTTGTTTATCTCACTGACTTTGTGCAATTGATGAGTTGTTAAATGAACTTTAATGGCCAATGTTTCCCAAAGTTGAAGTTAGGGGTCAGATACAGTGCTTTTTAAATTGCTCATTGTAAAACAATTTGTAAAGGTTTTATTGAATGTTAGATATCATTCATTAACACAAAAAAGGATAACTATTGAGATACTGGCTGCCTGCTAAAAAATGCTTATAACATTGACCTTATAAAAAAAACTCAACTTTCTTTGTTTTTGACCTTATGAAGTCAAATAATGCAGTCTATCCGTTTGAAGTTGTTGGATAATTGGTGTTTTGGTACATCTTGCAATTTTGGGATCAATGTGATATTTTTATTGGAGTTCAGTGTCTAGTACTCTTGAGGATCTGCTGATAAATGTTATTTTGGATAGGCTGGATTGCCAATCACTGCAATAAGATTCTTACAAGCATAGCTGTTTATTGACTGGAAATGCAGTTTCCTCAAGAAACACGCCTGATTTTCAATATTTTTTTTATGATTGGCTTGATCCTAAAGCAATTCCTTTTTTAGAATCCATTAGCTAATAAGGCATGTAACAACTGTTGAACTCTTAGATGAAGGATGTACTGATCTTGTGGCATTTTGTTTCGTTTTGTGTTTTTTTCTCTTAGACAGTTGCACTCTTATATAGACCTGCATTAGAGGCCATTTTTTACATAAAGTAACTAATAATGTGTAAATTTCTATGCCTAATTCTGCTCACGGTAGTAATGATATTCTATAGAAAGGAGCATATAATTTATTTTAATTTTTTAGATGACTTTTTTCCTGAACCCCTCTGCCTACCCCAAGAAGGGCAGGCCTGAAATTCAAGATCTAAGCTGACCCACCTAGCTACTGTGGTAGTTCAAGTTAAAGTTCATGTTCTGATTTGTCCAATTTTTTCTCCTTAAAATTTTATTTCTGTCAGGTCGAAGTTGGAAAGCTTCTGAGCTGCGTCTAAAGTCTTGGGATGATCTCCATAAACTATGGTATGTTCTGTTGAAAGAGAAAAACATGTTGATGACTCAACGGCAGATGCTTCATGCCCAGAATCTACGATTTCCTAATCCAGAACGCATTCCCAAGGTATAATCCTGTTGCTTTTGCTTGTCATTGACATACCTGTTTTAGCAAATGGATGGATGTTATTGACGTCTAATAAATGTTACTGACTGCATCACAACAAACAAAGTTGATGGGTTCTCTGGATGGTTGGTCAAGGGTGGCAGAAGGCAAATCATTCTTTCCGTTCACTTCTTGCTTCTAATGGTTTATGTGGCCAGCTTTGGGAAAGAATAGAATTCCTTCCCCATGATTGATGTGTTCATTTATATGCAAGTTCTGCTCTTGCAGAGATCCTTAACATCATTCAAATTTCTGTCTGCCCTTTGTAAGATCTGGTGGACTTTAAACACTTGTATACCAAGGTTCTTCCTTACTTAAATGCTGCTGAAAATGTTAGGAGAAGGTTTTTGAGCCTTATAAGAGAGCCAGTGTAGGCTATGTTAACCACTTTACCCTACAATATCTGAATTCTGGGTTGACTTGTATCAAGCAAACTACTTGAAATTTCTTAATCAGAAATCTATCAGTATCAAATGCTCCCTTGAGGGTAGACCTACTCTAAAGAAGTCTTTAGTGCATCAACTCATTTTATGAGAAATATGTGGAGGAGAAGAATTTTAAGAACTGGCTTGGCCCGTGGACTTCTTAATGGCCTTGGGTTTACGAGGTTTTCGAGCCCTGATATTAGACAGTTAACTGTTATTAATATCATGAGCAAAAATGTCATAGTACATTACTTTTTTGTGCTTTGGACTCTTTGAATTGGTAGTTTGAAGCTAAAGTGCCTGGAGAGAGGCCTTTCTCCTGTTATTACTCGACATCTATTTGATTAGCAGTGCCGATGGTTTTTTGTATTTTATTGTCAGTTGGGGGGTGGATCTGACTGAGGAAGACTTGGAAAATTCATCAATGCTTATTGCTGACTTTAACTTGGAAGCTTCAGATTACTACTCATAATGTTTTCTGTGCATTTTCAATTTTAATACTCTCACTTGCTAATACTAATATTTTGAGTGCTATCTTTTGTGCTTCAAGTTCCAGATTGTTTATTTTATCTTTCAGGAAGCACATTTTGCTAACTAGAGTTTTTGTTTTTTACTGGTTGTAAAATTTAGGTAAGGAAGTCAATGTGCCGTATCAAGCAAGTACTTACTGAAAGAGCAATTGAAGACCCAGATCCCAGGAGGTCTGCAGAGATGAGGAGGATGATAAATGCTCTGTGATATTGTACTAACCTGTGGCACTCTGTTTCTGAAGACTTTCTATTGTTTTGTTGATTTTTCCATATGTTGGACTGCATCCTTCCATTATTGCATCAGAACATCTTAAAATAGCCACCTCTTTATGAACATTACTAGTGTTTGTTTCTGTAGTGGATGGCACAAATTCAATAGGGTAGGGGATTATTCATCAACAACATAACTATCACCTCTCATGTCTTTTGGATTAGTAGAACATGAGCACAGGTTGTCTGTAGCTGTGAGGACTCTGAAAGCTCCCTCTTTCCATCTTATTTCCCTTTTGTTACTCTCATTTCTCACTAGAAATCTTTCTAATGTTGAATATCTGAGTTTCACAGCCATTGTTGAGTTTGTTAGGTCAATCCTCCAGAATCCTCATCTCCCCAGACTTTAAAATATGAATTTTTGCTGCCTATTTGTCACCTGAACAGAAATTTGGGGGGCAGATCAGAAGTTTCTGTAGGCAAGCAGTATTATCAATGTGATATATATATATATGGTTCTCCAAGCTCTCTCAAGCTAGCTTTGACTGCATTAATTACCATAAAAAGGCACACAAAACAACGGTAACAAGAAATTACTACAAGAATTGTATATGAGAAAATCTCTGGGGAATACCCTCTGAACTCTGAACACTTTCCAAGGATTTTGGATAATCTGCT